GATATCTTCTAAAGAAAGGTGGTCCTTTAATGACCAACCTGTAATTGTCTCTGATCATTACACTTATCTTGGTATTAAGTTTACATCTGCTATGAACTGGAAAAAATCTGTTACTGAATTATCATTGAAAGCTAAGAAAGCATTGATAAGTCTTTTATCTGCCTTGTGTAAAATTGGTGTGTTGACGCCCAGTATTTACTTTAAACTATTTGATTGTCAAATTCAGCCTATTCTTTTGTATGGATCCGAGATTTGGGGATTCCAGAGATATGAATGCATAGAAAAAATACATCTGATGGCCTGTAAGAAATTTTTAAATGTAGGACCCTCTACACCGAATTGTATGGTGTACGGTGAATGTGGGAGGTATCCCTGTATATAAATGCTCATATTCGATGTATAAAATTCTGGTTTAAGATATTGTGTATGCAAGAACATAGATTACCCAAAAAGGCTTATAACATGCTTGTTCATTTGGACAACATTGGTAAAGTGACGTGGGCATCTTATGTAAGAAATCTGTTTTCACATGGTTATGGTTTTGTATGGTTAAGTCAGTCAGTTGGTGATGCAAGTTTGTTTTTAACTCAGTTTCGAGAAAGAAGTCTTAATATGTTTAATCAAGAATGGCATTCAGTAATACATAATAGTTCACGGTACGACTCTTACAGAATATACAAATCACTACTCCAGCCGGAGAAATATCTGTCGTTTTTAACATCAAAGAAATTAAGATATCCATTTATACGTTTTAGGTTAGGTTTGATCAACATAATGGTAAACGAAGGAAGACGTTTTTATATTGAACGATGCAAGAGAATGTGCCCATTGTGTAATATAGATGTGGAAAATGAAATCCATTTTTTGCTTGTATGTCCTTTGTATAAAGATTTACGTACGAAATATATAGCTGAATATTATCTACGTAAGCCACCTACATTAGCATTTAAACTACTTCTTTCATCAACTGACCAGCATGTAATAATAAAGCTGTCGTACTATATCAATTATGCTCTTATTACACGTAACAATCTGATAAAAAGTGTTGTATGTCCATCGTATTTCACTACTTGTACATAATTTACTGCCTGTATCATGATTTGCTGTCTGGATTACTAATTACTACTTATTGCACCATATGTATAATGTATATGTATAACTCCAATGTATATGGGCCGGAGGCCTTTTGTACAATAAACATCTTTGACTTTGACATACATAAACTTTGCTGACATCACCAGTCTCTCTGGCTATCAGACTGAGGGTACTATTTAAACATAACCGGTATTTCTATTATTGTTATACAGTAACATTCTTCAAACTGTCTCCATAAACGTCCGCCAGATACATCACGCACTACCCCTTTCTCTATTGATTTTCTCCAATGACTGTTGCAACTTCGAAGAATCCTGGTCAAAGTAGAAAAGTCTTAACAATTCTGTAACATACACATTGTACCCTAAATGGGTAGGGCTTCCGTTTGGGGGAATATCAGAAGGACAACGATACAATTATCTCCAATGTTCTCCAATTATCTCGGCACTTGTCAGATCTGAACTTGAACATGCGAGGTCTGCGTTATGTCAGGCTAAAGGTCTACAAGATGTTTAGCAACACTGGGGCGCAATAGTCATAGGCCTGCTCCAAACAACGGAATATATATCTTGTGAGAAGGACTTCTCCGACGGGAAAATTACAGCAATGCAACATCACATTTACTTGTGTGACATATGCTTCCGCAATCTGAGTTTATGGGTCATCAAGTTAAACAGGACAATCAAGACGAATTTCACAAAAGGACGGAGGTCCAACATGCCTATGGTATACTCAGAGAACGAACCCGTCTGTGCTATTCGGTCATAATCGCTACGCGATAAAAACTATTTTTCATTTCATGTCTCACTGAATATATAATTTGATATGGCATTGTTTGTTATCGTATACTTTTGTTTTCGTGAAACGAATGTGGACAAGTTTAAAGTTCATGCATGGCGTTATTACAGCAAAGGCTGGGCGGAAGGAGAAATAGCATGGTTTTAGGCAATGTGAAACTATTGAAAAAGGTCACATGCAGTGCAAACATATTCCAATTATGTTCTGCCAAAAGATATTTACAGTGGTGATGCGCGGGCTGAACAGACTGAAGAAATTACGAGTTGGTTCGTGTAGCGTATTTGGCTGTGCTCCTAGAGAGATAGTCTGTCTTACAGTCCCTGATCCACATTATTTTACCTACTGCCTCGTCCCCCTGCAATGCTAAAGCCCTAAATGACGCAAGTCTAGATTTCCTCAGGTTCCTGAACCTCTGGTCTCCCTGAGGCTCCTTTTCAATTTAAATGGGTTTATTTGTTACTATCAAGATTATATATATTCAGGGACTAAGCGTTACTCTATAAGAGAGATAAAGTGGTATTCCATAGAGATAGCTAGGGACACTTGCGAGGACAAATGGGTAGCTCATCGCCCTTTGTTCACCACTGAACCTTTTAATCCCTCGAAAATACCACCTCACAAGATTTGCCAACACCGCAGGCAAGGCGTAACTGATACTGGTAGCAAGAGCAAGTGCAGCTTCATAAGGCATGCTAGCTTGCGTAATACTGCTTTCGGTGATAAGAATAATGAGGTCACGTGAACGTTGATTTCAAACGTACTGAAATGTTTGAAAATGAAATTACATGAACCAAGTAATTCGCATGATGGAAACATATGATCATCTTGCTTGAGCATAGGTAACATGAAGATGTATGAACCCTTCATATTCATACCCCTGAAATTTATGTATGATACATAAATATCTAAGGTGTGTAAACCTTTACAAATTTGAAAATTTACATGTGTTTCCCCACCTAAGTAAATTTACATGTTTCCACCCCGAGTAATCTTAGAACGAAATGGGAAATGGGAAATTTCAGTGCCCATTGAAATTCGAAGGAATGCATCGGAAATAATGTATGATCATGTATTTACTGGGGTATCTGTTTTGCAATTCCTGTTTGGAAATACCTGACAATCCGGTCAGGGCATATATGAACGAGGTACTTGTGCATACGAAAATGTACGATGAGCATCTGTTTCAAAGGTATAGATTTGTATGAAATATATGCCCGAAGTTTTTCTTTTCATCTGCCCCGCCTTAGAAAGAAATATTTAACATCCTACTGTTATACCCATCCAAATGAAATAAATGACTATACTATAAACAAATGAAAATACTATGGAATTACAGAACCTGTCAATGTATATCTATTTTGCACTCATACACAGAAAATCTGCTTTGAATTTGTAATCTGTAAATATTTGACATATGCTTTTCTGCTGCTCAGTTGTAAATGTTGTGTATATAAATGTACTATAGGCCTGTGGCTTTTAAGTACTGAATAAAGATTGATTGATTGAGTGATTGAATCTATCACCTCAATTGATGTACAGTCCGTACCAAAGAGGGACATGCACGTTCATGGTACCCATGCGACCTCTTGCAGAAGAAGCCAAATCAATTTCCGTCTGTTGGCTTGTCAGAGGGAGCGTCAATTTGGGAAGGCTTATCCACCCATCCATCCATCCGTACATACATGCATGCACACACACACACACACACGCACGCACGCGCACACACGCACGCGCACACACACATACATTAATTGGTGTCATCACTGACTTACAATGACCTATTCCTATAGTAATCACCGCTGTTTCGAGCTTTGATCCAAATGGAATCTGTTTCAGGAAATAATATGAAATATTTACTTGCGTTTTCGTTTAATATGTACTCGCATCTTTCATCCTTCAGCAGGATGAAATAAGAGTAGTATAGTTTTTCTATATAACTCTCTCAGACAAAACAGCAAGTTTTTTGGTTGGTGATGTCAAGGTGCTGTGGGTAGTATTCCAGATACACTACTTAGGAGATAAACATACTGTGTTGGAAAATCAGAGGTTTATAACGAAATTGTAATAGCTCTAAATTTGATAAAAAACTATTAAAAATATATGAGAGCTATTATAATTTCTTTATATACCTCTGATTTTCCAACTCATTATGTTTATCTCCATTTACCATAACCGAATTATTGAGATTTAAAAAAATATAGATACTGTGTTGGGAAATCGGAAAGTGATTATATACCTCTGAATTGACCAATCACAGTCAAGTATTTACTCAAATCATGGAAGAATAAGGTACATCACGGAGGTCTGCTAATACATGGATCCCAGCAAAGTGGTATATGTGACCAATGTCCATCTCAGCCTTTAAACAGAATCAGTGGTCACAGACACTTCTCTGACCATTCCAGTTCGGTAAACAAGCAAGATTTGTTTGTTGCTGCAATCTGCAATATTCCATTTATATTGCGGAAAAACAAGCAGGAGATGGTGCTGTCGATTCTGACATTTTTTTCCCGGTAAGGTAATTAACACTACTGTATAATAAAGTACAGTAAGATGTGAAAAATGGATATTAACTGTTTCATACATTTTTTAGCGTTGGGTATTAGAAAGCGTCTAGTTCAGATACACGACTGCATTTTGCTACATTCTGCCCAAAATAAGCCATTAATCATCCTGTGAAATATATTTCACCAGACTCCAATCAATTAAATGAAGTGTAAGAGCTGATCATGAGACATGGTGCATGCCGCTAAAATCATTTATAAACGCAAAAGTCTATTGGGCAATCATTTGGTAACCGTGAAAAGACAGGAGTCGGTTCCAGAAAGCTGAGTCGCCGCCTCGTATCGTGGTGGTTAAAGTTGTCGCTCGCCATTAACAAGGACTGGTCGGCTCGAGTCAGTATAATGTGTCTGAGTGGGGTATTCATGCTTCACTGCGGCAAGTCCCCAGCTCTATTCTTTCGTTCCATACGGCGTGAAACCATACTGACCCGCTCACTGTTTATCAAAGAAAGGCAACAGGTTCAAGTTCTAATTAATTGGCTATAAGAAAGAACTACCTGCGTACGATGCTCAATGTGTTCAAGCAAAACGGAAAACGCTGAGGCGTAGCAACGATCTTTATTCTACAACGATGACAACTATCACATTATCCTATGATGGTTGGATGACTAGTGTCGGTAGACAGGACAAAGTTCTTGAAGTAGGAGTAGCAATCACGCGTCGGAGCCCATGAACTGTCGGAGCCGCCGAAAAATGTTGCAAAGAAGATGCCATCAATATTGAGAGACTTTGACCGGATGTTAAGATGGTCGATGGTATACACCAGCTTCCCGTCGTGCCATACTTTAATGGAGCCATCTGTCTTCCCGGGAGTGTTCAGGTGGACCGACTGCGCGATGTTCTGCCAAGACCCTCGCTTAAATCGCCAGTTCCCTCTTCCCATTGAATAACCTTTCACGGAGTTGCAGACATTATGGTCACAGAAATGTGACACCTGATGGTGGTAGTCGGGGATGTAGCCGTACACCTCTCCATCTCCGTCCGCCCTCCACATGAATCTGGTCGAGAAGCAGTTGTCGGAGTGTCTTCCGCCAGAACAGTTGGTCCATCCGCCAAACAGTCCCGGTAGTTTACCTCCGCGCCGGAAGTCAAAGTTCTTGTCAAAGTACAGGTCATAACTGAAGGTCATTACAGTTCTAGGACTTGTCGGTGTTGCAAAGAACTGGACACCCTCATTCGGACCATGGCTACTGTAGCGGCCCTTCTCGTACCAGACTTTCAAAACGTGGTTGCTTCCTCCGTCGGGGTCAGTGACGACGGAGCCAGATCCATGGTCGTAGTCGTTGGAGGTTAGCGCATGCATACCATTGCGGTAGTTATGCGAGTCGAATTCCTTATGCGTCCATAGAACACTCCCTGTGTGTGATAGAATGATATGATGTAAAGCTCAACGTAGCATACCTTTTGATCTTGTCAAAGCCTGTGTTTGTCGTCCCCACCGTTATTGCTCGAGTGAGTGAGTGCATGAGTATGGTTCAACACCGTTGTTTGCTATATTCCAGCTATATCACGGCGGGGGGGACTAATAAAATGGATAGTTCTTTAGGAATTCCATTCTATATTTACACATTTCATCCTTTTAATTACACATTTTACCAAAAAGAATAGAATAGAATGGAATAATACTTTTCAGAAATTTGTGTTACATCAACAGAGCTGCTGACACATCAGTGAGATACAAATACATAACACATTTACATAAATTCATGAATTTAAGTATCTTCACGTTTGTTTAAACGGGATATGGCACGATTTGCCGCTCATATATTAATGATAAACATTCAAATTTGACGCCAGCGATATTACTTACAGTGTTAACAATTTTGTCTATTTACATGAGACAAATCGGCTTAACTTCTAGACAAATCATTTGCTGCTGATGTTACACTGTCAATTAAACTGCTATATTGTTCCCTGAAACACTGTGGTGAACATGAGCAATTAGGAAAGTATCAGTTCGTCACATAAAGTTTCATTCCGGAATTGGGTGGTAAGTATGTTTTGTATTTTTGGTTTCGTCATGTTCCTGGTTTCTTGCCTACCATACCTACTTACGCTCTGCTATATGCAATCATAACTGTATCATCCTAAACGCCATTCCCACGTTGTGGTATATTATATACTTTTGACAAGATAAGAGGTGACATACCATCCACGAGAGCCAGACAACACAGGAGAAGTATAGCTGCCTGCATGATCACCGACTGCTGAGGAAATTAAAGTACATGTTAAAGTATGTGCATGTGTGTGAGAGTAACATAAATTGCTCTACATTTTATACAACCATGCCAAGCAACTGTAAAGAAGGGGTTGAATGTACTCACATGAAGCAGAGAACACGCCGATCCAACTCGGAATGGCTGCTGCTTTATATGTTCTTGGAGAAGATAACGTGCTTACGATAAAGGCTTACGATCGTGACAAAATCGCTTGTAACCTTTCCAAAAGTTCTAACCATATGGCACTGCTCGATTGCCATGGAATGTTTTTAAATTACATATCGTGTGAATCATCCATGTGACATATTTGGACAAAGCAGTGAGTAGAATCTTAAAAATTTTAAGGATTTTCTTTTTTAAGATTTGTTTACAGCAGATACAACAGCTGGCGCTTCAATTCAACACAACGTGATTTTTCTCTGGTCGGAAAAGTGATCTGCCTGTCGTTATCTACACTATTAGCTGTATGCACGATCTGCTGGAATCGTGACAAGTGTTAATGAGTTGGGCTAGAACGGTCGTCTTGTGGAAGATGTATTGTTAACACCATCTTTTACTTATACATGTATGTCCACTGGTGGATATTTTGTCCTCGAGACACATCTAGTGGCACAGACACTGTTTCGGCCGAGACACTAAAACGGATTAGTGTAGGAAACCGAAGTCACAACATACTGACGCTGAGTCGAAAAGGCCTGCATAACACCCTTATTGTTGGCAACAGGCAAGGTAACAATACATACTACCTTAAACGTGAGTTTGGACGTGGACAGTAAGCTTGTCGTAACCAAATACAGTTGGGCAGATAGGTTAAACATTGCCTCCAACACAGTTTTTGTAAAAGCGTAAGGACAGGCTGAAGTGATGCAGGCGTTTGCACCTTTGATTAAACACAACTACAAATGTACTGCAGGGCGATAGGGAGTTCGAACACAAGATCACTTAGGTTTAAGTTTCTGATGGGGGGTGGGGGTCGGTAAAAGTCAGTAGTGGGGATTGTGCTGCGCTGCAGACTGGGAATCTTAAACTGTTTCGATCAGAGGGAAATCGTATGTCTTCATAATCTCACATTACGTCAACACCAGCCGTACTGAGAAGATCATCTTTTCGCACTGACTAACCAGTCTAGCTCCATTATGGAAGCTGAGTAAGGTGCAAGGTGAATATTATTACACTGACTTATTTTTATTAAAATTCCATTTTTGGTTTCTTCCATTATACTGTATGTGGACTGCCTTTCTGATGTATACAACCGCAGATCGTTTTTGTGTTACCGCAGATTTAGGAGATAAACATACCGTGTTGGAAAATCAGAGATATATAACGATATTATAATAGCTCTAAATTTGATTTAAAACCGAACGCAACGTTTATCTCCATAACCGCATTATTAAGATTTAAAAAAAGAATACATACTGTATTGGAAAATCAGAGGTATATAACATGATTATATACCTCTGATTGTCTTAACCAATCACAATCCAGTATTTACTGAAGTCATGGTAGAATTCATGGTTAACTTCATATTGTTTCAATATGGACATAGACAAGTTGGTAAACATCGTTTGTGCGCGTGTGCGTGTGTACGGGTACCTGTGTATATCAAGGGGTTAACCACAATCTTCATACCTCGGAAATTGGTTCTTCTTCTGACACACAATCTAGTTGTTTTACTGTCCTTCGAAGACATGTTTTATAATAATCACATATTCCATTTCATTGTAAAATGTTCTCGTCACGATATGGCTGAAATATTGCCGATGTGACGTTAAATATTAACTCACTCACTCACTCTGACACACAATGAAATATTCATTATTAGAAAATACCGTGGTCATTTAATCACTAACTCAACTATTACAGGTCTTGTGTCTGTTTAATTAGCAGTACAATATACTGAATATACACATCAATACTGCCACATGGAGGCATGCAGTGAAATAACGTAGGTGTTTACAAAGGCATACAGTAAATTAGCATTGTTGAAATCAATGGAGGTGATCGACCCTGTGCTGTTGGCGAACGCACTACCCACTTGACTGTTCCCTGCTCAGGATATCAATATATCATTGGTACACACCACACGTGTGACGTTTGATTACGGCTAAAAAAGTGGATTTAACGGCTTCTTTTACCCACTAGACTCCCTTCTCGGTGTGACAAAGTCAAAATCGTCGACTGCGTTATATACCACTTGTTCTATTTATCAAGGTCACAGTACATTCACAGTGTCTTCTATGTGTGCGACATACACCATACATGCACGGTAAACCTCCTTAATCCGGGCAGAGCAGCTCCAGTTGACACAGTACTGGGCCCCGTTTCACAAAGCTCTCGTAAGCCTAAGATCTCGTAAAGCACAGGAGGTACGAATGCCACGAGAGAAGTTACGAGATCTTAGGCTTACGACAGCTTTGTGAAACGGGGCCCTGGTATGTATAGAGCCAGAGCACCTGGTGATGTTTTTGGTATTTTAGTGAAGGCATCGTAGTGATGTTCCTGCTATATTGATGCAATGGTGTGGTGATAGGACCCGTGCTCACCAGATCTCAGACTTTCCTCATCTCTTGGAGTTAATACGTTTTGTCTCAGGACCCGTCAGATTGACTTGATGAATGCAAAGAATTCACTCTTGTCATCGTCAAAGAATAATTTATTGTTACAATTATAAGGAATATGTACAGATCTGTACGCAGCGAATTCACATTCATGATACTGCTTCACATAACGAACCAAGCCCTACAACTGTGCCCACCCTGACATGTTACCTAAAACCGTACGTCACATACACAACATTGCAGCCATATTGTCAAGCTATTCTGATGAGCACGCTTAAAATGTACATCGACAAAATTCATCGAAAATATCATGAAGATATTCTAATGAACATGATAAAACGTTTTTGACAATACTGCTGCCATATATTCAGGAGGATAAAAATGAACGCTGCAGTTACAACTCTGCCCCATTTTCACGACGGTGTTATGGAGGGTAGATTACAATTGTACGTGAGATCAACAGTATTGCAGCCACACTTGACGGGAGAGTTGGAGGTGCTAAATATTCTGATAATTGACAGAAAGTGTGAACAGGACGGTGAACAAGCTGGAGGACTTATAATTGAGCAATCTCTGGAACAGGTCTCATTACTAACACCAAACACATTACACATTTCACCATATACAGTAGTGTTCTTAGGTCTCAGCACATCCGAATAGTCATTTCTCATTATCCGACGGCATGATGTGGGTTCTCAACTCAACAAAAGTACTAGAATCTGTACTTTACTGACAAAGTGTAATCTCAAATATCATATTTGTGGCAAGATACGTTGACATATAATTTAAATGACCGCTGGTCAAGACATATACAGTTACAGACCGACGTCATACCGCCGAGTAGGGTGTTGAATAACAAACAAACAACAGCCTTCGTTTAGATCAAGCTCCTGGACAAGTCATGACAAGGACAGTAACCATTTAGAGCGCCCAGCCATTCCATTTGCACGATCACATCAAATGTTCCCTCGACTTCTTGCCAACCCCGATCCAATCTGAAAAGGTAATATTACTGTTTGACAAGAAACAGAACACAGAATAACTGATACAAATCATATATATAACTACGACTCGATTGTGTTTCCTTCTATACACCGTTTTTAAAAAGTGGAAGGTGTCAGCGATGCTACAGGACATGGTCACCTTTTCTCGAAAGAGTGCACATCTACTTTCGGTTTTCAAAATGTGAATGGATAGTATTTATAAAGCATCAAAAAAGCTTAATCGTAAAATCAGTGGGAACAAATTATATCGTGCAGTACAGGTGACGTTCAAATGAAGTGCCATCACAATGGATGGACTGACGATCACACATTGACTTATGTGTCCTGTGTAACAAGGAACTGGTGACCGCCGTACACTACATGAACTTCCTGAACATGGACAGTTCCAGTGTCTGTTTGATTAAATATTAGAAACTGTCAGTCACATACATGCCAATCGATAAATTCACATTTATGTACATAAAAGTGTACATTGCAAACACGTATCTTTCGAATCACTGACTGCAATGAGATTTCAGATTTAATTAGATGGAACGGTGCCTCGGTAGTTATTGCCACGCTAATTAACCAGTAGAACATCTGCATTACATTACATGCTTGCAGACATACAGCAGATGGCAGGAGGAAAGTGAGTGTTCCAGTACATTACACAGTTTATTGCAATGGCCAGTACACTGTAACAGCTACATGTCAGCTATCATGTACATTTACTGACAATGTATCACAGAAAATGCATCATGGGGTAGACGTTATTGGCAATATGTCACCATGCAGCAAAGCGTGGACATATGTCACAGATGCAGTGGTTGAAAGAAATCTGGAGGCGTTAGTTGAACAAAAGATTCAGTGTAATACTGTGCCCGTTAGTTTAATGACGTGATCATAGGGTTTCGGTTATGTCACAGCTGCACAGGCTAATTAAGAAAGTTTTAGCGACCAACCACCACATGGATGATGTTCATAATGATAATCTGGGAATAAATACTGTACTCACATCCTTTTGTGAAGAGTGTAATTACAGGGAGTGTTGTGGATAGAGTACATGGGAATCAAGCACCTGTGTCCTGGCTAAATCACTAGTATGCGAGGGCCGCCTGAGTAGGGTTCCGTTATTACTGATAGCTGAGTAAACAGCACGAAACGAGAAGTCTTCCAGAGGCAATTAGAACAAAACTGTTTTCGAAATACATGTACATTAGTCCTTTATTGCATGCATGTAGCGGAATTATGCCCTTGAATCCTAAAGTAGGTAAGTGCCTTTATGCATGCATGAAGTGGAATGATGCCCGTGAATCATAAAGTAGGTTAGTCCTTTTATGTTTACATGCAGTGGAATCAAGCCCGTGGACCCTAATATATGTTATTTCTTTTTATGCATGCATACAGTGGAATCATATCCGCGAACACTGTAGTAGTTTAGTACTTTAATACATGCATGTTCTTTCACCGTATAGTAAGTTAGTACTTTCATGCATACACGCTGTGGAGTCATTGCCGTGAATTTTAACGTAGGTTAGTACATGCATGCATGAATGAAGTGGAACTACGGCCTTGAACCTGAAGTAGGTAAGTACGTCCGTTCATACTGCAGCGATTTTATGCAAACCAAGCCCATACTCACACCCCGATGACAAGCAGTCACATTAGTCGTAGTCGTCGTCGTCCTGAGCGTTCATCAACGACGTCTCCTCCTCATGCTTACCTTCAACGACGCTGGAGGAGGAGTTCTGTCCGCTGGATGTAGTGGAGAACAGAACTAACGCCACATATATCCCAAAACCTGGAGAGACAATATATCAAACTCAACACCCTTCAGTGATAGCACATACTGTGGGTTAGTGAGTGCTGGCTCTGTTGTAATAGTGAAGGTATTACCGATACATTTAATATTGGTAGGCATCAATGAGCAGACCTGACAAGGTATATAGTACTTATATAGATTGGTTACTTGCAGTTGATAAGTGTGTATGAGGGAGTGACTTTTGGTGAGCAGTATTCACGCTGTATCACAGAATGTGAACTTGATGTTGGTTGGAACGCCGAGGTGATGCCGCGAGTTAGTGTGTTAGCTTGATGTGGGCGAAACGCATGAGGTGATGTACACAGTACAACCAGAAATTATTGAGAATTTAAAGATTGTAAGTTTTTTATATTATTATCACTCATTACTCACGTATTAAATGTGAATATGAGCATAACATAACCCCAGATTCAAAGACAGGTGAACAGTTAGTAGTTTGTCAAGTCACCATGTACAGCAATGCAGGCTTTAATGCGGCGGGGCATACTACTGATCAAAGAAGTTAGAAAGTCGTTGTCCATGATGTCCCAATATCGAGACCACCTCTTCTTTCATTTCAGCAATATTTTGTCAGATTTTTCTTATTGACACTTTCCTTCTTAAGTCCCCAAAGATTCGATTGGATTTAGATCTTATGTCATATTTTGGGTCCGAAACGAGGCCTGTGAAAGCTTTGAGCGATGTTTTGGGTCGTTGTCCTGCTGGAAAATCCACAACTTTCCATAGAACACGTGAGCAGATGGAAATATATGTCCCTCGAGAATATCTGTGTACCGCTCACTGTTCCTATTCCATTCAAATACACAGAGGGGCGTTGCCCCTAACACAGATATGCCACCCCACACGTTAAATTTCGGACTGTACTTTGGGCGCTGATACAAAGGTTTTTCAGTTTGTTTGGTCCAGAAGTTCAGTGTATTAGGAAACAGCCACACAGAACTTTCATCTGAGAAAATCACATTGTCCCAGTTAATATTTCTATGCTGTAGGCACCAGTTCAACCTTCGCTCCTTTTGTTCAGGTTTCATGATCGGTGATGGAATTCCTCGACTTTTCTGCTAACCCATTGCATGCAGCTCAGTTCTAATTGTCTCCTTACAGCCAGACACAGTTCCTCTATCAATCATATCCAGCCTTAAGTTTTCTAAACTACTTCGTTTGTTTTTAGAAACAGGAATACTAAGCCGCCTCCTGTCACCGACAGTCAATTATCTGGGCCTACCTGCGCCTCCCTGGTGCTCAATGCCATATCCATTTGCAATATTTTTCAAAACACGATAAACAGTGGACAAAGGGATGCCTGTTCTACTTGAAATCACTTTAGCTGATCTGATGTCCTTGTTATAATACTCTAAAATCAACTTCCTCTTCTCTAAATCATCCATACTGATCGGATCACTGAAAATGTCGTCTGCTAGCAAGTAAACAAAGGGGGATAACTGTACACAAACTAATGAAAAAGGATTAACGGAGTTGTCGGAGTTGTGTCTCTGAATGAAACCAAGCACTTGATAGCTGGTCAAGGTTGTTTATACTAGAAATTCAATTAAACATATTCCTAAAATTCTCAAAAATTTCTGGTCATACTATAGGTCTGAGTGGGTGGGTGGGTGAGTTGGTGGGTGGGTGTATCAGTGGCTGTGTGAGTGAGTGTGAGAGTGAGGTTAGTATATAATACGGCGAGTCAGCTTCATGGGGGATGAAAGTCAGGAGTGATGCAGGAATAAGACGTTTACGTTATTGATACAAGGAAGGAATAATGCTGACACACCTGGAAACATAATCGGGGAGAATCATTAATCAAACCCACCATCAAAGTTGTCTGTCTGCTGAAGGGACCTAAATCTTCACGGAGAATGACGCCGTTTCACACGACTTGACCACTTTTGTCCGCGTTGTATTGTCAACACCAACACACATAGATTAGCGTTGATAAACCAAGTGAGAGTGAAGGGGGATATTGGATTTGATGTGTACATAAACAGGTGATGATGTTCTGGTAAACTGCACACTTTGCATATAATTATGTTGACGCTTGTCCTTCGCATATTCACAAACCGTAAACTGTATCAACCACTTCATATTGAGACTGACTGACTAGTACTTCTAGTACTTCTAGCCTCTCCTTTGTTTAACGCCACACTCCCATATTCCAGGTTTATGGCGACCTTAACTAATCGAGTCTGGAACAAACTATCCAGTGATCAGCAACATGAGCATCGATCTACTCAACTGGGATACGATGACATGTGTCAACCAAGTCAACGAGCCTGACCACCCGATCCCGTTAGTCGCCATTTACGACAAGTATGGATTGCTGAAGACCAAATCAAAGCCGGGTCTTCACGTGTCTCTCGCGTATCAACCTGCTCATGAACGGCCGTAAATCTGAACACACAAATGTCAATCTCAGACATGTATGTGAGGTTTCGAGTTCTGTTATCAGTGACATACCCAGAGCAACAAGGATGACGTAGCCGATGACCCCCGTGACGTTGGCCGCCGCCGCCAACAGCACGATGTTGATGACGATGGACAGGACTGGAAGATAAGGCACCAGCGGCATCTGTTTAAAGAACATTGTAGAGTGAGTGAAAACTGCACTTATTTGAGCCGTAGTAGATAAGACGCGGGTCGTTGACGTTTACGACGTTGATGAAACCTATGAGCACGAGTAAGGTCCTCAGACCATTACAGAATAAATCATGACAAATCTGGGATTTGAACCCAAACCAGGGGACTACGGCTTGGGGATGCAAGTCATGACCATTGTCATTTTGGTTGTTGTATATTTTGCATTTCGTGACCGTTGTTGTATATTTTGCATTAACAATGTAGTAACAGCATCACCTCCACCAACACAATAACAGGGACGAGCGTAGTTTCTCTTGCGTGGACGCCAAGCTGTCACGCAATGGCACAAAGCGTTTAAGTTTATAAAAGATTGAAGTAAAGCACTTTGACGCTCACTGCGTGACCTCTTGTATCAAGTCGTCGTCGTTGTTGTGGTAACACAACTATTGTTCAAATATGACATTACTCCAGTATGTTCTGAGCACCTGAATGCACGAGGTATTCAATGTCAGCTGTCGTTGCTGAACACTTCGCGGATTGGTATGTAGCCATAACTTGAGAACAACACTGTCACAAATAACACGTTTGAGTAAGCTATCATTTAGGTATTTTTCCCTCGTGACAGAACATGTATATTTAGATAGATTAACAACATACCCCATATGTTACACACATGATATAACACAGTGAGATAAACATACACATTTTAACAAAAATAATGCGTCAATCAATTGTCTGGGGTGATCATCTGATAAACTGGTCTTCCGATGTTAACTAGCGCAGTTTTTTGTTCACCGACCAATTAACATCATGGTTTGTTCAATGTCAACTGTCGTTGCTGATTTCAGGAGTGAACACTCATCACATTGGATTGGTATGTAGCCATAACTTGAGAACAACACTGTCACAAATAACACGTTTGAGTTAGCTATCATTGAGGTATTTTCCCCTCGTGACAGTAAGTGTAGATTTAGAGAGATTTACAACATACCCCATATGTTACACACATGATATAACACAGTGAGAGTGCGTCAATCAATTGTCTGGGGTGATCATCTGATAAACTGGTCTTCCGATGTTAACTAGCGCAGTTTTTGTTCACCGACCAAAGGTCATAATGGAGACAAATTTGTTGACCAAAAACTGCCTCCGTTGTTGTTCTGTCCTGTGTTGTCCCTCTCCTTATGTACATTTTGAACATTTGTTGGTTGGTTGGCTGGTTGTTTAACGCCACACTCGGCATATCACAGCTATATGGCGGTGGTCTGCAAATAATCGAGTCTGGTCCAGCCAATCCAGTGATCAACAACATGAGCATCGATTTATGCAATTGGAATTCCACGTCATGTTTCAACCAAGTCAGCGAGCCTGACCGTCCGATCCCGATCGCCTCTTACGACAAGCATGGGTTGCTGAAGATCAATTTTAACCCGGATCTTCACGGGTTTTGAACATTTGTAAATGACCTAAACATCTCATGTTAACCCAAGTTAACCTTATACAATGGGGTTGTCTTTACACCTTATATATTAACACCAGGTGTCAATAACAATTATTAAGGTGTGTCTAGATTAGTCCTTGTTAAAGGACATGTACATGTAGACCTAGAAGTCCTTGATCCAGATTTGAATGACAACGGTCATGCGGGTCATGTTGACTCGAGAGGGACAGCGGGGTAGGCTAGTGGATAACGCGTTCGCTTGTCAAGCCGTAGACCAATTGGTACAATGTGTGAAGAATATTTCTGGTGTTTCCTGCCGTGATATTGCTGGAATAATGCTAAAAGTGGCGTAAACCTAAACTCACTCACTAATTGGAGAGTGTGCAGTACTTACACTGAAGCCGTTGTGCTTAGCCGACCCGGTTTGCGTTGACATCAGCACGGACAGGAAGACTAATAGCCCTAGTAGAAGTCCTAGACACACGAACGCCAACACACGCCCGTGGAGGAGGTCGTCAATACCACTGACAAGCTGAAGTCCCAGACCCAGAGATGTGAACACTACAAGACACACGAGATACAGCAACCCTATCCTGTCCGCTAAGCCACTAAACCCTGTTCTGGGTTCACTTACTCGTCCATCACTCGACAGTAGGGGTCGTTCGTCCGTTCTAACATTTCGGTTTTCTGCATCCTCTGAACTAGTACTTCGTTCCTCTCTCCTACTAAGTAATAGAATTCCGTTTGATATAACAAAACTTAGAAATATAGATATGACGTTGAAGCTGACAAGGTTGGAAATGTCGAAGAGAAGGGCGAATAGAGATACCAGGAGCCCCATGACCACTGCGGCCCTGACAGGCACCTTGGTGGTTCTGTTCACCTTCAGGAAGGCCTTCATGAACAGTCCGTCACTCGACATGCAGTATACATGTCGTGATATGTTATATAGGTTTAAGATATTAAGGTTGCTGATACCTAACGTCGGGCCTATACTGACCACGTATTTCGCCCACTCTATATGCTTGTAAGCGAACGCAGATGGAAGAGGTGCCCGAATGTCAATTTTGGAGTACGGTACGAGGAGGATGAGTCCACAGGATGACCCTACGTACAGCAGGGTTACAATCAGTAATTCTGAGAATATTGCTCTTGGGATGGATTTCCCAGGCGTCTTGCACTCTTCTGCTGACATACAGATGATGTTGAAGCCTTGAAATGCGTAGAAGCAGGCTGCAGTCCCCGCCATTACCCCTCCGATGCCAAACGGCAAGAATCCCCCATGTTCGGTGTTGGTGATGTTCCTGTAGTCGCCGATAACCAGACCCATGATGGTGACAAACAGCAACACACACACCGACACACCCGCCAACACTGTGCTGATGAAAGCAGAGGCTTGGACTCCAAGGGAGATAATTACGATCACCACGATCTCATATGCGCATGCCAGGAAGTCCAGACTTTCGCTAAATGGCGGTCCGAGTGTGACCTTGCCGAGAGTATGGACTGTGGATTCGTGGATGTAGTTATTGAAGAGCGAGTCGAGATAGCCACTCCAGGCTCTAGCTGCAATGGCGCCACTTGTGATGTAACCTAGAGAAACAGGAAATATGTATAGTACATGCAGTTGAGTCAGTATTCACCGGCGTAGGGATTACGGTTAAGAATTGATCTCCAGCAACCGGTATTTGATACACAGGGCAAATCCGTTGATAAGCTGGTCACACTATGTGGGGCGTTGCTCATAATTCCGGTAACTAGTTTGCCTGGTCCAAAGCGGTGTCATATAATTGAACTATGTATCAAGCCGGCATATTGCCGTAAAACTATTGCGTGTAAGAAAGTTTGGTTGTATGATACAATACAATACTGTCTAAAATATCATTGTCATCAAACAGTTTACCTATAGGACTAAATGAACCAAGACCTGAGGGTGAGGAAATGAACCCAGACCGAAGGTCGGGGAGTGAAAGGGGAACTGAGGGTGAGCAACTGAACCCAAAACAAATGGTAAGGTAGTGAACCCAGACCTATGGGTGAGGACATGAATCCAGGCTTATGAGTTAGGATGTGAACCCAGACCAAAGGCTGAGGTAGATGAGCTGTATGGATGATGATGTAATCCCAGACTTCAGATTTGGGACGTGAACAGGAAGCTAAAGATGGGGTAATGAAACCACACTTACAGGTTTGAACGTGTAACCAGACCTACGGGTGAGGTAATGAACCCAGACTTACAGGTTGGGACGTGTAGCCAGACCTACGGGTGAGGTAATGAACCCAGACCTACAGGTTGGGACGTGAAGCCAGACCTACGGGTGAGGTAATGAACCCAGACTTACAGGTTGGGACGTGAAGCCAGACCTACGGGTGAGGTAATGAACCCAGGCTGACAGGTTGGGACGTGAAGCCAGACCTACGGGTGAGGTAATGAACCCAGACTGACAGGTTGGGACGTGAAGCCAGCCCTAAGCTTTGGGAAGTGATCCGAGACCATAGAGTGAGGAAGTGAACTGAGACCTAAGGCAGTGAAAGTAAAAGGGGAACTGAGGGTGAGTGAGTGAACCCAGACATCAGGCTCGGTAATATTATGTGAACCAAAACCTCATGCAATAGATATCAACGATACAGTTCTATAGCTGTCTACAACATTTGGTTGACCACAATTGGTTGGCTGGGTGTTGTTTAACGCCGCACTCAGTAATATTCCAGCTATAAGGTGGCGGTCTCTAAATAATCCAGTTTGGACCAGACAATCCAGTGATCAACAGCATGAGCATCGATCTACGCAATTGGGATACAATGACATGTGTCAAGCAAGTCAGCGAGCCTGACCACCCAATCATGTTAGTTGCCTCTTACGACAAGCATGAGATACTGAAGACCAATTCTAACCCGGATCTTCATGGGTTCTTCATTATTTAAGCGGGTTCAGTCATCAGATTGTCTATAGTTCAAAGCACAATCGATATCAGCCGTGAGAGCAGCTGTGACGAGATATATAAAATAATGGATAGACTTTCCAAACCAGCTGTGCTGTTTCATGCAGACCGAAAACAAAATACAGACTGTGAAATTAGAGAGCATGAAGAATGTATGCCCACATAGACAGAGGTTGACGTGTGATGTTGTTATACGTGCATGACGTGATCCCCTGCCACGTTTCATGAGTGTTCCAGTACAACGCACAATTCATTCCACCTCAAAGTTACGTTCGATGAGCCGAGTGTGTCATTGACGGTTACTGCATGTGTTGAAAGGTGTCATTATACAGGAGCTGGATGTGTAAAAACGCGGACGTGATTGAGGGATTATGTCCACACTAGTGGTGAAACTCAGGACATCGGGTATAGAATTAACAAAATATTCAGGGCTTGTCCTGAATTCGATATCAAGGTTTTGGGTGTACGTAAAAGACGTAAGGGCCTGACACGACCGGGCCATTCTTCTGTCCTATCCGGCCCTTCCCCCATCCTATCTACCTCGGAACCTCCCCTATCCTACACCATCCCCTTCTCCTCGACCAGTACAGATTCGGGTTTGAATTGGTCTTCAATAACCTGCCAAGTCAGGTGGTCAGGCTCGTTGACTTGGATGACAGAAGTCAATGTTTCCCAATTGAGTAGATCGATGCTCATGCTATTGATCACTGGATTGTCTGGTCCAGACTCGATTATTTATATAAAACTGGAATGTCGGCGTTAAACAACAAACATACAGACGTCTCCCTCAAGGTGCGTGTACCTACCCACGAGAGTCATCCAGCCCACAAGGAAGGCCAGCAGCTCGGAGGCACTCTCGTAGACGTAGGTATATGTTGCACCAGTCTTGGGTATCCTTGCGCCGAACTCCGCGAAACAAATAGCGTTTATGACGGTCACTAAACCGGCCATGAGGAAGGACAGCAACACACCTGGTCCTGGGGGGTAAAGAGGCACATTGGTCAGTCAGGGATTCTTCTAAATTGTAGACCCAACTTCGTGACAAGCGTTCGAGTTGTTCTTTTATCGTTTATTCAATACACAGTTGGTGTATTTCATTTCATTTTTCACAGTGCCGTGCCATGTTTGTTTTACAATGGAAAGACTTTATTATGCTAAGTCACACATTTCACCAAATATTGCAGACACATGAACAATTTACTTCAAGGGACTTCACATGTGTGTATGTTGTTCTAAATGCAGTCATCATTTTGGGTTAACGATAGCCAAATAGGTAATATGTAAATAAGTAAAGCTACACACATGAAGTTCGTAAAACTGATAAAAAAAATTACCGTTCCTGTATATTTGTTGAGGTAAATATGGCATATATAAAGAGCCGAGGATAAGGATTGGCTTGTGTGTATAACGGCGGCGAATAACGCCGCACGTGTATCCCCTAGTCACGCCATGACTAACACTCTTTCTGTGAAAGCCGCACAAGCATGCATGTGGTTAATCGTCTACAGCCTGCATTGGTGTGGTCTTGCTAACACGTGACCTTCAGGCATAACACGATATGTCAGGTTGATGTGGCAGGAAAGCCTGAGGTGATGCAGAATTTCTGCTCGGATCGGCAGAGACATACAAATGTATTTTGTCTATAAGGTTTACACAATAGGCAATTTACAGTTACTGTATCATATCCAATCCCATTTCACTGATTTACCCGCCTGAACGACGAATAAAGGACACAAGTGAAGTTGTCTCATCTGTTTCACATTTACACACAAGTATTGAGATTCAGACTGACAAAAACAATCAATGGCGCCGTGAGACAAGGCAGTGGGTTTCTGGTTTGAGTTGGTCAACTCCTCCTATATATCGAGTAATATTCCACAGTTCCTGCCTTTGGCGTTCATCTGAATTACATCATCTCGCAGTGTTCTTTATTGACTGGCTTGCGACTCTGGCTTGAACGTTGTTTTATGAAGGTCACAACAGTCTTAGTAAAGCATTCGAAAGGTTTTACAGAAAAGTAGAAATATGAAGGGCATTTCCAAATTTGAAATAGCGGAATTCCCCATTTGAACTAGAAGTGAATGATTAACTTGCAATTGCAAGTGCTAACGACATTCTAGACTTACATCAGGTAATGCCTCACCTGCATATTCTTTAGCTGCCACGCCCACCAGTACATATATTCCCACCCCCACCGTGCAGCCCACGCCCATGAAGGTGAGGTGGGTGGTCGTGAGACATCGCTTCAGCTCCGTACTGTGGTCGTGCTCGGAGATTACCTTTTTCTTCTTCATCCGGTTCAACAGGAACCACAACCTGTCCTTCGCACCCCCCATTGCTCACGTTGACGGATTTGTTATTTCCGCATCCTGTACAATGTGTATTTTCTTGTAATCACATGTACTGCCACTGGCGTTGGTTAAATATCATTCTTTTCTAACTGCTATATTTGAAATTAGGCCTTAGTGACGATATTCATATTTTTCCATGCAACATATGTAGTTCGATATTAATATTGGAATTTTACTAATCAGGCATTTCGGTTGCCATGGTTGCCATTACGTATTGAGCTTCTGAGGGCGTTAACGTCTCACAGCTGCTCGAGGAGCATGAACATGAGCTTGACTCCTGAGAGTTTCTAGGACTTGAGTCCTGCCCCACAACGAAGCACATGTGACACATGTGGTCTCACCTTAGGCAAGTGAGTTTGTTCAAAATTGTCTCTGTTCACCCAGCAGGAAAATGGGTACCCGGTGGAAAAAAATCATATGACTATAACCTTCTAGCGCTTAACAGGCAGCTTGGGTTATCCGGGGTAATAATGTGCTGTGCCTTGATTGTTAGCGCTATGAGCATACCTAGTGTGGAGTTTGGCGCTATATAAATGGACACATTATTATTATTATTACGTAGTCTATACTCGTAGGCTCCAATTTAACTCAATACTGCGACACCAACGGGCAGGATGACACCCACACAATATCAAAGGAACTCAGAGAGTGACTGAGTGTTATGTACGCCGCGGTTATCCCTCGGTACATGTACGTGAACACCATCGAGTCAGAACAAGGCAAGCATCCCCGATGGCATGAGTAAGTATAAACGTCACACAGTTACACGCTCCAGGATCCAACATTATAAACATCTGATCCACATTTTATCTCGCTTTTATCATTAACATGAGGCAGAATACAAAGTCTGCCCAGAATCCACTGGATCTGTTAACGAGTGAGTGGGTCAGTATGGTTTTACGCCGCTTTTAGCAATATTCCAGCAATATCACGGCGGGGGACACCAGAAATGGGCTTCACACAATGTACCCATATGGGAAATAGAACCCGGGTCTTCAGCGTGACGAGCGAACGCCTTAACCACTAGGCTACCCCACCGCCCCATTTGTTAACGAAGAACTCAACATTACTAGAAATCATTAAATGCTTTGATATATTTTATCACATAGATGCTTTCAACGTGGCATATAAACATGCAACATTCAAGATGTTGGTATATTCAGAAAAAATACATACATACGTCGATACTGATGTTCTAAAACCTGAACTGAATCCCATAACAAAATAACAGCTTGCGTGACTATAATATTCATACCAGCAGTTATAGGAGAACGGTGTGGCATATGACACAACACAACGCGATATACATATCTATCCATGCCGCGCTTGCATTTTACCGACTGACATTTAATACAAAATGATCTGTGGTTAAGTTCGGTTATATAGCCAGAGGACATAACACACACAGGCGGACGGAATATATCGGACACGGAGAATTCGTTACATACCAGATGGCATGGTTAGTAGGTTCGTTTGTATCATCTGTACTGCAGGTGTTAAAAGCCTTGCAAAATGCGCGGTTGTGTATGATTTAATGGCGAACGAATTATGCATTAAAATGTTCGCTTGAAACAGTGGTTTCACGGTGTAACTTTAAACAATACGTACCTTCTCCCCAGACATTCCCTGAAGTTCAAGATTAATCCTCTGACGTGTACAGCAGTTGGTAATGTAAGCTATACAACAGCTGTAATTCGAGCCTCATCACGTCCTTACATAGCACGTCCTCGCTGGCTAAAAAACCTACACTGGTAACTGCGTCTTCGCTCAACCATAAATATCAGATTGCCAGTATTTACATCTTTGCTAGACAGCGTATGTCACGGTGACCTATTTGAGTATCCAATTCAGACTCACCTGGACAAAACCTGGTGTGAAGTCACTTCCCTTGTCTTCCGGGCACTGCCTGGCAAATACCAACTAGCATTACCCTATTACAACTTTCACCGGCAATGTAACATGGTAGTATAATATATTGTTGAACAATGTTGTGCTTGTATCAAATTGTTTCTTTTCAAATTCCCTGTGTTTTGACATTAATTGGGGCGGTTGGGTGGTTAAAGCGTTCGCTCATCACGCCGAAGACCCGGGTTCGATTCCCCACATGTATGTGGATACGATGAGTATTAAGCCCGTTTCTGGTGTCCCACGCCGTAATAGTATTGTAATATTGCTAAAGGCGGCGTAAAACCTCACTCACTCACTCACTCACGTTGACAATACATGTAATTAATTGTCGGGAATGTATTCAAGAAGAATACACATATTTGTGAACATGCTCAAACCAAGTACCTGGTTGCACTCATGACTTTTTCCACTTTCACAATTCGGTAAGAGGACACGAAATGTCTATATTTTAACTTCGATAGTTGTATAACTGTGATGGCCTAAATGCTACAAGATCTCGGTAGTAAATCTCATCCACGCCTGGTCCCGCCTGGACGCTTGATCCGTCCCTGTTGAGTGTTCTGTGCGTGTTTACAGGTAAACAAACCATGAACATATTTTCTGTAGCGACCGTCGGCTAAGCGTGCTTCTCATCCGATTGTGTGTGAGGGATTATGGACAGATTTTGCTGGAACACTTCTTAAGTGCAACCACTTCGTATTACGAAAATCTCGGAATAAGCCTACCGGAGTGCGCCATTCTATAATAATTATGCAATGAACGATACACACAGGCACACACACAGACGCACACATAGATTGGAAGAGAGAGAGAGAGGGTTGGGGAGAGAGCGAATGAGTGAGAGAGAGAGGGAGGGAGGGAGAGAGAGAGAGCGAGCGAGTGGGGGAGGGAAAGAGGGAGACATGCACACACACACACTCATACGCACACACGCCTATCTGCTGATAAAGGAAATTGCATGGTGATATTGAAATAGATTATTGTGCACCAGACGCTGTAGGCAATTATTGTCCTCTTAAAGAATTTCTGAATTCACATCTAAAATCTATTAATTATGCGCACACTGCCGACAGATGTGTGACACTACTTATTGACTCTATTAACATATATCGATAATATGATTTAAGAACTGGACATCAGCTGCTGAACGAAATACACTTGTGCACGTAAACCGGATGAGGGGAAAAGGATTCAGGTGTCTTTTCTGCACCCGTTCAAGATCTAAACTCGGGCTTTGTGGAGCGCAATAGTGCAGTATGTGGCGTCTGCCTATCACGCTGAAGGCCCGTGTTCGATCCCTGGTAGAGTCACCTTAGTTCGGGTCCCGTGGTGGGCACATTTGCGTAGTATCCTTGGACAAGAGACTTAGATCCACATTGTCTCAGTTCACCCAGCTGTAACATGGGTACCCGTGAGAATGTGCTGGCAATGTGAGTGTTTAGTTCATTGCGACGAACAGGCAGCGTGGCTGTATGATCCCCAGGGGGTTGAAAACGTATCGAAAAGTACGATCGTGTCCTATGACCGGGGATAGTAATGTACGTAGCGCTGTGAGCAGGCAATGTGCCTGGATATGAGCGCCATATAAGCGGACTATTACTATTACATGGATATTACAAGGCATTCACAATGTGAAACATCTCTGCATGATCAATACAGTTGTTATCCTGTACTAATATATGAGTCATTGTAGACTGTATGCTTTGAACAATGAAATCAGTTTATGAATTTGTGTCCGTCTAAAATTTCCGAGATGCTGCCCACTTTGATGAAACGCACAATCATAATGTGCTCACGTATCGAACCGGAATTCAAACCAGTAATCAGTATTAACTCACTTGTATCTGCCGGGCCCAAGGTAGGTAACTGTGGACAGCAAATTGTAGTGCCTGAGGTAAGTGGGCCGTCGGTACCTCCACCAAGTTAATGAATATACCAAGTCAGAAACACTTGCAAAACTATCTTTTGTCGAATAAACACAATGAATATCGACATAGTCAATATGAATTATTATTGCATTGCAGGTTCAGCAACAAGTGATTTGCTCGTATCGATCAGCGAACAGCTGTGCTATGATATCCTGCAAACATAACAGTATCGCCATGTATGATCCAAACTGCGGGATACTGCTATATACCTATTTGTACACAGGAGATATCAGTTTCTGACATAGATACATACACTGACGATACACACATAAACAATGAGTATTTCATGACAGAATCAATACTACAGAAGCCCACTATTCCCACTATCGGTGTGAAATAATATTTAGAAATGAGTTTAAATTACTTATTTCAATACAGACACAAGGAAACAAGCTACACATATATTACACTTTCATTTCAAACAGGCATATTTATCTATCCTGTATTACTGACTGAGTGAGTTTGGTTTTACCCACTTTTTAGCAATATTCCAGCAACATCACGGCAGGGGACACCAGAAATGGGATTTACACATTGTACCCATGTGGGGATTCGAACCCGGGTCTTCGGCATGACGAGTCGACGCTTTAACCACTAGGCTACCACACTGCCCCCTATCCTGTATTAATGTTTAGACAAAGATATATATATTTTTCTTTTTTTTCCGTTTGTTCATAACTACCTATTTGAAAGATAGCAATCGAAACAGATTACGTGAAGTAATACATTGCAGCTGCTCAATAGGAATAGATAGCTGACGACCTTTTCGTCTGATCTTGAAGCAGTCAGTTCGACTATGTGGAAGTACATAATGGTCAGCCAGTTATATTTTATATTCACCTGCCTCGGTTATATATTCCATTCTAGAGGATCACTGAAAATTAGTGATTATACCAGGTGTTCGCAAAGAGGATAAGACATTATTTTGAAAATGACAAGTATGACATGTGTGGGACACCCGGTGTCAGGACAGCTTCACAGGCAATTATATAGGAGTGGCCATTGTACGTGAAGTATAGGTGGGATACTGTCAGCATGTACATAACTATATCAGTACAACAATTTGAAACTTGCACACGCACACGCAAATACGTGACGGAAGAGTTAAAGACCGTTAATGTATTTATACGCATGAATACATGACACATGTTATGGACAAGTAAAAAGGAAGTTGTTATCCATAACACGGGCCATGGATTTATGATCGTGTAACTTCTAAATACCTTTCAAGAAATTAATTATTACGCAGTCAGTGAACTTACGGGTGTGGTCATAAAACCAGTGGTTGATAACATGAGCAATGGCCGCAGTCTGTCTGACATTGCGACTCTCTATCACACCACCACCGCCTCACCATCACTAAGTCTTGTCCTATCCACAAGTAAGTTAAAGAGACCCAGTCGTATGTGTATATGTTACCAGGGGTGATGTTTCACTGACGTCATCCTTCCACACATACCGTACTTCCTCTACTAAGCGCCGGTTATGGAAGTCTGTTGAAGAAATAAGCGCCGGGCACTTACGGAGCAAATACGGTACGTTCAACACCGATAATGATCGAATGATTACAACATGTAGTACAGTTTGTTGATTATTTGCAAATATGGAGCCACGCAATATAGGACCGTTCTACCCTATTACTGTAGTACGTAAGTCCCAAAATATTTCGAGTCAGTTGAAGTGTACCAGGTTTTTAATCGTAGTATTTTTGTGTTTTTAATGTATGGCTAAATCTCAGCATCAACGCCAATGGCTGAAGGGATGGTGTAAGTCCAACTAGGGTCCATGCAGGTAGCAAAAGCAATGTAAGTCCCCATGGTCCCTGGTATGGTGATCTACCTTCAGTTGTTGGCGATCAATAACCTGTTTTTATATTGTGTTGTAGTGTATAGTGATATATTTTTATGATAGTGTGCTAGTTTTAAATTAAGAGCTGTGACATTCTAGTAGTTTTACTGTCCTTCGCTGACAGGTTTTTATATTCTCAATTTATTGTTTCTTATATTGATATCAATTAAATTGTTCTCGTCACGATATGGCTGAGATATTGCCGATGTGACGTTAAATTTTAACTTACTCACTCACTCACTATTACTGTATATTCTCGAATAAACGCCGAGTACGGAACAATCTCCGATTCTCGATTGAAAAAGGGGGCTTTATTAAACGTTATTAAACGTGGGTAGTTTATTCACACATGGGATTTGTTGTGATATCACCTTTACTAATAAACGTTGGGATGGAGCATGTCTGAAATGCATAATATGCCCAGGTGTTTAAGCGAGGACTCCTACAACTGTCACAGTACTGGCGGTAATTAAGGTACATCCGATTTGCAACCATAAGCTGTATTATAGGACTGTCATCTAGTAGTGGGTAATGTACACGTACAAGCCAAACAGCCCTACACTAAACCAGTCCGGTGTATCTTGTTGTAGTCACAGGCAAGTAGAATTAGGCTCTGCATATGGAAAATAACAAGCATTCACAGCGACAGTCTGTGGTTAACCTACGTGGCATTTGGGAATATTCATAGACGTTGTCGCTCTATATTCGGAAGATAAGTACCACTGAGAATATCATGTAATACGTATGTACAACATTGCGTTCGGGAGTCTTGTCACGACAAGGTCTGTGTCACCGTGTCCTTGATAGCGGCCTTGCTCGACCGCACACACAACTTTTAAATAGATTATCTGCTGTGCATATTTACCTGACTTCATGTCTCAACCTCACGATTTTACCGCTATCGCTCATGTCAAATGTACCTCGCTATTACAACAAAAGAAAACCGCTGTGACGTTTGGTGTTACGGTATGACGAGGTGACTACCTTGGCCACGTGGCAAGGCAATGGAACAGCCACCGCAGAAGAATGTGCCCTATTAAATAATCGAAATAGAAGCACTTGATTCAAACTTACCTTGTACAAGCTAGGTACAGTGAACACGGCGTTAACGGTTTGCAGATGATCTAGGAAAGAATATTCACCGTAATAACAGCATATTTGTGCCTTCTTTGACCTTTGACACGGTATGTTTGTTGACAGTGAGTCTTCCGTGTACTGTTGACGTATTATTGACTGGACGAGTCTATTTCAGTGTGGGGGTCAGACGCGGTCAATCGTGACTGGGTTGACTGACGCCAGCTACCAAGCTGTCGTGCTGGTTCAAGCTTGCTGTCCCGAATAGATCTCTCTCTCATATATATCTGCCCCTACCTGTAAGGCATTGCAGTACATGTACAGTACACCCTCTCTCTCTCTCTCTCTCTCTCTCTCTCTCTCTCTCTCTCTCTCTCTCTCTCTCTCTCTCTCTCTCTCTCTCTCTCTCTCTCTCTCTCTCTCTCTCGCTCTCTCTCTCTCTCTCTCAAGAAATAATTTCAAACTAAACACGTTGCATTATTTCCCCAATGTGAGCATATTTTAAATTGAGAAATGGCCGGAGCCCTTTCTGGTATCGGGCGAATTCCATTACCAATCACATATGGTCTTTCTCACATTGCTAAGCTTGTCGTGTTGGGTGATCGGGCTCGCTGACTTGGACGAAGCATGTCATCGTATCCCAGTTGCATAGATCGATGCTCATTATGCCAGTATGTCTGCATTGACTGGTGCAGGTTCGATTCTGTCGGGACCGCCATCTTATAGCTGGAATATTGTGCGGCGTTGCACAACACACAAATCACAGATGTCACGGATGATAAGAGACGCGTAGTGCATGAGGAGTTATCTCCCTTTATGTCGCCTTCGAGGTATTCAGTCACATGCATGTTATTTTTATGTGTCAGTTTCATAACAGCATTGCCACCGTTTTACCTCTGGTTGTAGATGTGGCAAATGTTGTCATTCTGTTTGACAGTTCCTTTCCATGCACATATAGAATCTCTATTACTGCCAGTGAGCGTCACTACATCACGAAGCACTGACATGTTGGCAGGTACTGGATATACATGCGTCCTTCCCATCTCACGCCAGCCTGCTTCACATTACGACGTGAAACAACATTAAAACTTGCCCTGTCATTGCGGCTGTGGTAATTTATGCCCTGATGTTTATGAAAAGAATTACTCTTACACTTGCACACCCGTGTAGTAGCCAGCTTGACCTTTCTATATCTACATCTATTACAGACGAGCTTTCGAATCAAAGCGACTTCATCTACGTCAGAAACACAATCAAATTCACAAATAATGAATAACATTTGTTCCATTATACATGTGTTTTGCTTGCCTGTCCTCAAGCAGGTTGAGGCTGGAGATAAGAAACACATAAAAAAAAGACTGTTGAACGGATGGTCCAACTGTGACGAATGTCTGCTGGTATGCATTGCTTTACACCTAAATGTCAGAAGCGGCCATAAAATACATGTAGCAGTTCTGACAGATAGTATCATCAATTTAACATGAATATTCCTTCCAGACTTAGTAAACTGACTCCAGGCTGGCCTGTGACAATTCAATCCTCCTCTAGCACCAGTAAACTGACTCCAAGCTGGCCTGTAACAGTTCGATCCACCTCTAGCACCAATAAACTGACTCCAGGCTGGCCTGTAACAGTTCGATCCACCTCTAGCACCAGTAAACTGACTCCAGGCTGGCCTGTAACAGTTCGATCCTCCTCTAGCACCAGTAAACTGACTCCAAGCTGGCCTGTAACAGTTCGATCCTCCTCTAGCACCAGTAAACTGACTCCAGGCTGGCCTGTAACAGTTCGATCCACCTCTAGCACCAGTAAACTGAGTCCAGGCTGGCCTGTAACCGTTCGATCCACCTCTAGCACCAGTAAACTGACTCCAGGCTGGCCTGTGACAATTCGATCCTCCTCTAGCACCCGTAAACTGACTCCAAGCTGGCATGTAACAGTTCGATCCACCTCTAGCACCAGTGAACTGACTCCAGGCTGGCCTGTGACAATTCGATCCTCCTCTAGCACAAGTAAACTGACTCCAAGCTGGCATGTAACAGTTCGATCCACCTCTAGCACCAGTAAACTGACTCCAGGCTGGCCTGTGACAGTTCAATCCACCTCTAGCACCAGTAAACTGACTCCAGGCTGGCCTGTAACAGTTCGATCCACCTCTAGCACCAGTAAACTGACTCCAGGCTGGCCTGTGACGATCCACCTCTAGCACCAGTAAACTGACTCCAAGCTGGCCTGTAACAGTTCGATCCTCCTCTAGCACCAGGGTAACAGCAAGTACGAACTTTGAGATGTGACGCGGTAGCGATTTGTTGACAGACCCTCAACCCAGAAAACAACAGAGGGGTCCAAAGCTTGAGTTGATGGCCTGTCTCTTTGGTATCCTCAAACGTGTGATCTTACACAAAGATTGCTGACTTCATCCTTCCCATCCTCGAGCTTTCAGGGTATTATATATCAGTTTTATGATAAAAATACCAGCGTACCGTTGTACAAAGCGATCTTAGCGCTAAGGTGACCGTAATTCCCATACCTTAACATGGATTTAATATCGTATTAGCGCTAAGTTTGTTTTGTACAACAGCACCCACGACCTATCCACCAACACCCTGGAGTGTTCCAGCTAATGGCACCCATGAGCGTTCGAGCTTTCCAGTTCCGAGTCTGGACTTCAAGTTTGTTTTCCTTCGCATATGACACACCGGGATATTACTGGAATATACTCTTCAAAACAATATTTAACACGACTATTATTTTAATAAATTGAAGGACAAAATTGCTGACCCCTCCCCAACCACCCCCACACACACACACACACACCTCGCCAGAACAAAATGGTGGACCCCATATAAAATCATCATCATCATCATCATCACCCCCACCACCACCCACACACACACTTGGCCTATATGAATATAGGGTATTATAAGTAATGTTTTTCACACATTGTGTATTTCAATAAATTTTAACATTTTGTCACTTGAAGCTAAAGTATTTAAGTTGATATACTATGCGGATCGAGTCGCTTTGTTTCGTTTTTTCACTAAAAATACATGAAAGATCAAGCTGATGTATACAGGGATAAGATTACTTATCAACACAATGAGGCATGGATTTCCACAGCGGAGGTAAGAAATGAGAAAAGACAACTTTATATAATATTTTATGCGGAATTTAATTTAGGCGACAGATGGAAACACAGGAAAATATGGATAATTTAACACATTAACACTGAAACACAGTTTGTGGGATTTCGATTTCACAACAGCTTGTCAAACCGGTCGTTTCTTACATATGAGTTTCATGGTTCAATCACCTGCCAAGTAATCACAAAAGAGTGCAAGTCCTCTACGTTGACAGACCAGGCAGAATGACGTGGGCAACTAAACGTCGTAGAATGCCATAACTAGCATTCTAAACTGTTGGCAGTGTCCTATGTTAGAGAATGCCACCTCGAGTGCATGCCACATGTTGACAGGCCAACAAGACATGGCGCTATACTGCAACTAGAATAACGTGGCCAAGTAATTATGTATTCACAGAGCAGCGAGACTGAAATGACCAAATAAACATCAATATAGAGCCATGTCTGCGTTGCCAGACCAGGCAGGATGACGTGGCCATGGTGACAAGTATCTGTATTGGCAGATCAGACAGCACCAAATATCCATGTGGACACGAAACTTTATTGACGGAACAGACAGCATGACCACACGCGTGTTGATATTGATATTATGGGCGGCATGAGTTTCAGATGAGGCGTTCACACTGAGGCAAGGCCGTTGCTGTGATATCCTCACTGACAACTGACGCTACATTAAAGCAAGGCTTGGCTCACCTTTCACAACACAGTGATTAAAAATGACAAGCAAGGTGCCCAATCACTGGAAATATTGTCCCACATCTGCATAAACCGCCATCGTGAGCAGATCATACATACATACATACATACATACATACATACATACATACATACATACATACATACATACATACATACATACATACACACACACACACACACACACACACACACACACACACATACATACATACATATATACATCATCAGTCTTCCTATATACAACAACTGTTGATTACCAATCGCGGGAGGAAATTACAACAGCCCCCAGGCGATATAGATGTACTTTAACGCCAGCTGTTTTTGCTACTGGTAACCGATTATTCCAGGGTCATCCTTCAATATATAATGGAATTATTTGTGCGCATTTTGGAAGCTCGATCACTCTCTCCTGCTGTCTCATTACAGAAAAGCCTGATTATTCGCTAGAAATAAAGTACTAGTCTTAGTTTGTCGACAGCATGCATTGGTCAATGAGTTCAGCTAATCGGGAGTGAGTTTAGTTTTACGCCGATTTAGCAATATTCCAGCAATATCACGGCGGGGGACACCAGAAATGGGTTTTACACATTGTACCCATGTGGGGAATCGAACCCGGGTCTTCGGCGTGACGAGCGCACGCTTTAATCACTAGACAACCCCACCGCCCCTGCAAGTATGGAGACTTACACAGTAACATATACCTGCGTGTTCAGACATTTATTCACTTGAAACAAACTTGTTTTGTAATAATTGTTTCATCGGCATTAGCCTAGTGGTTAAAGCGTTGGCTCGTCACGCCGAGGACCCGGGTTCGAATCCCCACATGGGTAAATTGTGTGAAGCCCTTTTCTGGTGTCCCCCGCCGTGATGTTGCTGGAATATTGCTAAAAGCGGCGTAAAACCAAACTCACTCATCGGCATTCCAGGAGGTGGTGACTCAATAGCTTGATAATGATTTAAGAATCTACGTCGAGACGTCGCTCTATGCAATAAATAAGAAGTTGTCATCCATAAAGTTGTATGTTTCATTTTTGTTTTTTATTATATAAAACGCTGTATCTGTGGATATCCTGGTATGGGTGATATTCGGATCCTATTTTGGACAGATTTGTTTGGGTGTTTCACCACAGTGGTCAACGTGGTAGACCTACATCGGGTTTTCATCCCACTTTTCGCAGACACGCCGTGGCATGACTGGAATTGTGTTCATAGCAGCGATACACCCTACTCACTCGGAATAACGCCTATGCCTGGACGTTTAACATGTGAAGTTCTTTCCATCGTAAATGACGAATCCGATTGTGTGTGAGTGTGTGAATGTTGCCAACACTATCCCAGCTGTATCACGGAACGTCGTCAATAATCAAGAACAGGGAAAACAGGTTATACGCCGTCGAGAATATTCAGGCTATATGCGTCTGTCTGTAAATAATCGAGTCTGGAACAGACAAACCAGTGATCAACAGCGTGAGCATCGATCTACGCAATTTGGATACGATGACATGTTTCACCAAAGGCAGCGATCCTGACCACCCGATCCCGTTAGTCGCCTCCTACGACAAGCATGGATCTTTAGTGAGTTTCCGACCTGCAGAGGCCCTCAAAGTACATGTTGGTTACTCTTTGGGAAAGAAAGCCTTTCGGTTTTTATCACAATTGTAATAAATATTCTAAGTAGTAGGATCAAGGGAGTATGGGCATCGTCATCATCACTATTTCGTCGTCGAAAATCGATACATCGGTAAGTGCGTCGGGTGGCCAAGATGTGTAAGGCGACGCTATTCGGTAATAAGAGTTCGAATATGCAGATATGTCTGGAACTAAATTCTCGACTACTCAGCGCCATATGCGTGACGATTGACTGTTCATTCTCGATCTGAAGCAGGCTTCCCATTCGGCTTCCAACACAGGCTTCCCTCACAGGGTCACCACACAGGCTTCCAACAAAGGCTTCCCTCACAGGGTCACCACACAGGCTTCCAACACAGGCTTACCTCACAGGGTCATCACACAGGCTTCCAACACAGGCTTCCACATATGCTTCCCCACACAGGCGTACCTCACATGTTCAACACACAGGATGACGTCACATGTTCCACACACAGGCTTACCTCACATGCTCCACACACAGGCGTAGCTCACATGCTCCACACACAGGCTTACCTCACATGCTCCACACAGGTGTACCTCACATGCTCCACACACAGGCTTACCTCGCACGCTCCACACACAGGCTTACCTCATATGCTCCACACACAGGCTTACCTCACATGCTCCACACAGATGTACCTCACATGCTCCACACACAGGCCTACCTCACATGCTCCACACACAGGTTTACCTGACATGCTCGACACACAGACTTACCTCACATGCTCTACACACAGGCCTACATCACATGTTCCAAACACACTTACCTCACATGTTCCACACACAAACTTACCTCACATGCTCCACACACAGACTTACCTCACATGCTCCACACACAAACTTACCTCACATGCTCCACACACAAACTTACCTCACATGCTCCACACACAGACTCACCTCACATGCTCCACACAGATTCTCACCTCACACGCTCCACACAGGCGTACCTCACATGTTCCACACAGGATTACCTCACATGCTCCACAAACAGACTTACCTCACATGCTCCACACACAGGCGTACCTCACATGCTCCACACACAGGCGTACCTCATATGTTCCACACACAGGCTTAGCTCACATGTTCCACAAACAGGCGTAGCTCACATGCTCCACACACAGGCGTACCTCACATGTTCCGCACACAGGCTTACCTCACATGCTCCACACACAGGCTCACCTCACATGCTCCACACACAGGCTTACCTCACATGCTCCACTCACAGATTTGCCTCACATGCTCCACATGCCTCACATGCTCCACACACAGGCACAGGCTTCACATGCTCACACACAGGCTTACCTCACATGCTCCACACACAGTCGTACCTCACATGCTCCACACACAGGCTTAGCTCACATGCTCCACACACAGGCTCACCTCGCATGCTTCACACACAGGCTTAACTCACATGCTCCACACACAGGCTTAACTCAAACGCTCCACACACAGGCATACCTCACATGCTCGACACACAGGCTTAACTCACATGTTCCGCACACAGGCTTACCTCACATGTTCCACACACAGGCTTACATCACATGCTCCACACACAGGCTTACCTCACATGCTCCACTCACAGATTTGCCTCTCACATGCTCCACACACAGGCGTACCTCACATGCTCCACACACAGGCTTACCTCACATGGTCCATAAACAAGCTTACCTCACATGCTCCACTCACAGACTAAACTCAAACGCTCCAAACACAGGCATACCTCACATGCTCCACAGACAAGCTTACCTTAATGCTCCACAAACAGGATCACCTCACATGTTCCACTCACAGGCTTAACTCAAACACTCCACACACAGGCGTACCTCACAGGCTCGACATACAGGGGTACCTCACATGCTCCACACACAGGCGTACTTCACATGCTCCACACACAGGCTTACCTGATATGCTCCACACACAGATTTACTTCACATGCTCCACACACAAGCTTACCTCACATGTTCCACACACAAACCTACCTCACATGCTCCACACACAGACTCACCTCACATGCTCCACACACAGATTTGCCTCACATGCTCCACACACAGACTCACCTCACATGTTCCACACAGATTCTCACCTCACACGCTCCACACAGGTTTGCCTCACTGGCTCCACACACAGACGTGCCTCACATGCTCCACACACAGGCTTACCTCATATGCTCCACACAGGCTAACCTCGTACGCACCATACACAGGCATACCTCACATGCTCCACAGACAGGCTTGCCTCACATGCTCCACACACAGGCTTACCTCACATGCTAGACACACAGGCTTACCTCACATGTTCCACACACAGGCTTAACTCACATGCTCCACACAGGCTTACCTCTCATGCTCCACACACAGGCTTATCTCACATGCTCCACACACAGGCTACCGCACATGCTCCACACACAGGCTTAACTCACATGTTCCGCACACAGGCTTACCTCACATGCTCCACACACAGGCTCACCTCACATGCTCCACACAGATTTCCATCTCACATGCTCCCCACACAGGCTTATCTCACATGCTCCACACACAGGCGTACCTCACATGCTCCACACACAGGCTTAGCTCACATGCTCCACACACAGGCTCACCTCGCATGCTTCACACACAAGCTTAACTCACATGTTCCGCACACAGGCTTACCTCACATGCTCCACACACAGGCTTACATCACATGCTCCACACACAGGCTTACCTCACATGCTCCACTCACAGATTTGCCTCACATGCTCCACACACAGGCGTACCTCACATGCTCCACACACAGGCTTACCTCACATGGTCCATAAACAAGCTTACCTCACATGCTCCACTCACAGACTTAACTCAAACGCTCCAAACACAGGCTCACCTCACATGCTCCACTCACAGGCTTAACTCAAACACTCCACACACAGGCGTACCTCACAGGCTCGACATACAGGGGTACCTCACATGCTCCACACACAGGCGTACCTCACATGCTCCACACACAGGCGTAGCTCACATGCTCCACACACAGACTTGCCTCACATGCTCGACACACAGACTTACCTCATATGCTCCACACACAGGCTTACCTCACATGCTCCACACACAGACTCACCTCACATGCTCCACAGACAGACTTGACTCACATGCTCCACACACAGACTCACCTCACATGCTCCACACAGATTCTCACCTCACACGCTCCACACACAGGCTTGCCTCACCTGCTCAATAAACAGGCTCACCTCACATGCTCCACTCTCAGGCTTAACTCAAACGCTCCACACAGAGGCATACCTCACATGCTCCACACTCAGGCTTACCTGACATGCTCCACACACAGATTTACCTCACATGCTCCACACACAGGCGTACCTCACATGCTCCACACACAGGCTTAGCTCACATGCTCCACACACAGGCTCACCTCGCATGCTTCACACACAAGCTTAACTCACATGTTCCGCACACAGGCTTACCTCACATGCTCCACACACAGGCTTACCTCACATGCTCCACTCACAGATTTGCCTCACATGCTCCACACACAGGCGTACCTCACATGCTCCACACACAGGCTTACCTCACATGGTCCATAAACAAGCTTACCTCACATGCTCCACTCACAGACTTAACTCAAACGCTCCAAACACAGGCATACCTCACATGCTCCACACACAAGCTTACCTTAATGCTCCACAAACAGGCTCACCTCACATGCTCCACTCACAGGCTTAACTCAAACACTCCACACACAGGCGTACCTCACAGGCTCGACATACAGGGGTACCTCACATGCTCCACACACAGGCGTACCTCACATGCTCCACACACAGGCGTAGCTCACATGCTCCACACACAGACTTGCCTCACATGCTCGACACACAGACTTACCTCATATGCTCCACACACAGGCTTACCTCACATGCTCCACACACAGACTCACCTCACATGCTCCACAGACAGACTTGACTCACATGCTCCACACACAGACTCACCTCACATGCTCCACACAGATTCTCACCTCACACGCTCCACACACAGGCTTGCCTCACCTGCTCAATAAACAGGCTCACCTCACATGCTCCACTCTCAGGCTTAACTCAAACGCTCCACGCAGAGGCATACCTCACATGCTCCACACTCAGGCTTACCTGACATGCTCCACACACAGATTTACCTCACATGCTCCACACACAGGCTTACCTCACATGTTCCACACACAAACTTACCTCACATGTTCCACACACAAACTTACCTCAAATGCTCCACACACAGACTCACCTCACATGCTCCACACACAGATTTCCCTCACATGCCCCACACACAGACTCACCTCACATGCTCCACACAGATTCTCACCTCACATGCTCCACACACAGGTTTGCCTCACCTGCTCCACACACAGCCTTGCCTCACATGCTCCACACACAGGCTTACCTCACATGCTCCACACACAGGCTAACCTCGTACGCTCCACACACAGGCATACCTCTCATGCTCCACACACAGGCTTGCCTCACATGCTCCACACACAGACTTGCCTCACATGCTCCACACACAGGCTTACCTCACATGCTCCACACACAGGTGTACTTCACACGCTCCACACAAAGGCGTACCTCACATGCTCCACACACAGGCTTACCTCACATGCTCCACACACAGGCTTACCTCACATGCTCCACACACAGGCTTAGCTCACACGCTCCACACACAGGCTTACCTCACATGTTCCACACACAGGCTTACCTCACATGTTCCACACACAGACTTACCTCACATGCTCCACACACAGACGTACCTCACATGCTCCACACACAGGCTTACCTCACATGCTCCACACACAGGCTTACCTCACATGCTCCACACACAGGCTTAGCTCACA